GGGGGGGGGGGGGGGGGTGCGTGTGTGTGCTCTTATTGTGCATTGGAACCAGGTGTACTCTTCATACAGATGAGATTCCACTGGACTGATAACACCTGCTAGTTTGCTGCAGATCTAGTCTCTGAACTCCTAATTTCCCTAACAAACCACCTGGAGTCAGAGGCTATATGCAAACAGCTCAGCTGATCTACTCAGGAATAAATGCTTCAGTTGAACTATGAAGCAGTTCACTCATTTAAATAGATGAAAGTTTCGTCCAGGGTGTACCCGCCCCTCGTACAGTGACTGCTGGACATAGGCTCCAGCGACCCCTGTGACCCAAAATGAAAGAAGTGGGTAAAAGATAATTGATGGATGTCAACACAAAGGAGAATATTCCCTGTTTCTTCTGTTCTGGGAGTGGAACTGCAGTCTCTGACAGAGGTGTTTGTTAGTATTTTTATCTAGACTGGTCCTGGGGGTTTGATCTGCTCAGAGACGGGATTACTGTATAATGAAATTATGACACGGTTCTGACCGATTTAAACGGGATCAGCAACTCTAATAAGTGTCTCCCAGGGATTCAATATCTATCAAGGAATAAGTTTATTTGGCTCGATGCATCACGCAGAAAGGCTTATGCATCGCATCATTTTTCCTTTCACATTAAATCATATAAGGTCCAATAAGACCACACTTAGTCTGGCCCCCTCATCCACATGATAGGCTGTGCTCTCCTTCTGCGAAGGAGGAGTCTAGACTCTATAAATCTGTAATGACATGTGACATTCGGCCATTCTGGTTCCTGATCTCACATCGAATTTTTTTACCCTTTATTTATACATGTAGTTTTATTGAGTCACGAGAACTCATTTTCAAGAGAGACCAGTTTAGGGAGCAGATAGTGGGGGTTAAGGGCCTTGCTCGGGGGCCCAGAGTGGGGCGAATGAGGGTGGTGGGAGGTGTGAGTGTTCTACCTTTTCCACCCACATTTTGATGTTGATGGTACCGGGAGTTGAACCTGCGACTTTCCAATCACAGGCCCATCTTCTAACCTCTGCGCCACCACTCCCACAGCAAATTGTATCTGAGGCCAACGCTGTAAACTGTAACCTTCTCCTGCCTTGATTTAATACAATTGGTAAAACTTAATTCACGTTTCCTTGATTTATTGATAGTGTGAGTTGCCGCTTCTGAGGAAGGTCAGAGCCGGGGGCAACGTTGGCTGGAGGTGGACCTGGGGTCTGAGAGGAGGCCTGAGGCCTACAGCTAGCAACAGCTAGCTGCAGTAGCATGGGGCCCGCATCAGCTTGGCGCTGTGACCGTTCGGCTCCCATCTTTAGAAGTGGTAGCTCGTTTATTATTGTTTAAAAGTGACACCACAGAAAGTGACCGAGTCTGCACAGACTGTACGAGCCGGCTATTAACATTTCATGAGGTAAGCAGGAAACCTGTTAAATCAAATTTCTAAGTGTCCCTTAAGAATTGACAGGCTCCTCTGTTTTCGGTCCTGTGCTTGCAGTTTAGTGAGCTGAAAGGCAGTAGAACGTTATAGTATAGTACGTGATTTCATGAAAGTAATTATCAGACGTAAAAGTTTATATACGTGGCATTTTTTTGTTGTAGCGCATGGGGAGAGCGGGCCGGAAGCACTAGCAACATTGTTAGCCAGAAAGCATTATAAACATGCGAAACACAATTTTTTCCCCAAAAATAAGAATCGTCCGGTTGATTTAAAAGCCAGTACATAAACTTTTGTTTGATTTTTGATTAAATTAAACAAATGACGTGGCTGAAGGTTTGAAGCCCCGTATGACAATTGTCACGTAATTTTTGCTGACATTAAAATCTTTACGAGAACCGTGCTTAGTCCCAAGACGTTCTGGGTGTAATAGCCTGCCGCGGTTTACTAAAAACACATTAAAAATTGTATGTCTGCAAAGCGTCAAGAGGTGTTTGGTCATGTGACAGTTCGAAAAAACTCTACTGGGTTTTGGGTGCCTGTGGGGAGCTTTGCTAACTCCTTGAAAGAAGTTGATGGCCTAGGGATCCTGTTTGTTATAGCCCCCTTAGGTCTGCAGTTGGATCCAGACTGGTCAGAGGCTCACCTGCAAGCTACCTGTCACTTGAAGTTGTGCTTTCTGATACAGGAGGATCTTTAAAATAAAAAACCTATAATATATAAGGTATGAGGTCCTAGAGAGACCTGCAGAAGTCCAGGAATGGACTGTAGAAAGTTGTGAAGTTATTAGAAGTTATTATTATTTTTGGAACAGCCAAAAGCAGCTGATCGGATGATCTCAGAGCCCGAGAGGGAACGTAAGGTTCCAGTAGCTCAGAGAGGTAAAGGGGTGCGAGGCCATTTAGGCACTTGAAGTTCAACAGAAGAATTTTAAAGACTATCTTAGTATGAATAGGGAGCCAGTGAAGGGAGGACAGAGCTGGTGTGATATGTTCAGACCTACAAATTCCGATTAAAAGTTGAGCAGCAGCATTCTGGAGGAGCTGAAGACGAGAAATGGAGGCCTGGCTGACCCCAGCATAGAGTGCATTGCAATAGTCCAATTGGGTCGTGACAAAGGCGTGGACTAGTTTCTCAAGGTCGGGTCTGGACAATACTGGCTTGAGCTTAGCTGCCTGTCTTAGCTGGAAGAAGCTTTTCTGCAAAACAGAGTTGATTTGTTTGTCAAATTTGAAATCAGATTCTAAAACCATCCTGAGATTTTTACCAGACTGCTTCAGATATGGCTGAAGAGAGTCCAGGTTGACAGGATCAGTGGTGGCAGTTGAGCTAGGGCTAAAGACAATGACTTCAGTCTTCTCATCGTTAAAACCTAAGAAATTTGAAGCCATCCAGGCCTTAATGTCATCCAGACATTTTAACAGAGTATATGGAGCAAACACTTGCTGGTTTCACAGGCAGATAGATCTGACAGTCAACAGCATAACAATGGAATGAAAGACCATGTTTCTTCAGGATGGACCCAAGTGGGAGCAATTAGAATAAGAAGGGGTCCAAGAATCTAACCCTGTGGGACCCCACAAGAAAGAGGTAATGAGGCGGATACATTATTATCAACCTTGACACAGAAACTCCTGCCACTCGGGTATGAGCGGAACCATTCATGGATTAACTACTGCATGTTTGAAAACATAAGGGACCACACTTGTCACAATACTACTCTTTACCATAGTAAGAACAGAGGGTCCAATCGTGGGTAGAACTTTTTCAAAAAACGATGCAGGAATGGGGCCAGCAGGGGAACAGGAGGCTTTCATCTGACCAACGACTTTGTTTAAAAATAGGAGTGAAAAGGGTTCAAACAGTTTTAAAGACAGCTGAGCAAGGGACAAAGACAGAGGGGTCAGTTGTGGACTGGGGGATGGATGACTTAATCAACTCTACCTTATCAGCAAAGTATCTGGTAAAGTCGTTACAGATGTCAACAGAGGCCTCCATGCTAGCAGACTGAGACACGGCACGTTTAAAATTAAGTTTACCGTATTAAAAAGAACGCAGGGATTATGACTGTTTGAAGCAATGATTTGGGAGAAGTATTTGTTCTTTTCAGATTTAACGATGCTCTGATAGTCATAGATCAAAACATCAACACCTTCTCTCTAATGAAAATGATGGAGATGTGAAAGGTCAAAGATGTTTTTCACCTACTAAAGTAAATGGACTGTACTTGTATAGTGTCCTTCTATCTTATCCAGATACTCAAAGTGCTTTACAACAATCTGTGTCCTCATTTACCCATTCATACAGCTCTATACTAGATCTCTACAAAGCTTATTGAACAAATCATTCTAAAGAGACTAATCAGAGCTTTATCACATTCATACACTGATGGGACACACATCCGAGGCAATGAGAGGTTCAGTGTCTTACCCAAGGACGCTTCAGCATGTGACTGCTGATGGAATCGAACCCCCAACTCTTGCATTGGAGGACGACTGCTCTAACCACTCAGCCGCCCTACAAAGTACCTTGTGTGTGTGTGTTAAAGTGTTGTTTTTGTCTGGATCAGAGTGACGAACCTTTCGCCCAGATAAGCTGCGAGGCTACCAGAGTCGTCTGACCTTATTTTTGTCTGAAAACATCATAAAAAACACTTTTGAGGCTGTCAGTGAACATATTTGCAGATGAAGCGTCATGAAATTGTTTTTTGCCTGCTCGTATTTCAACCTATGATTAAAACCTATGCAAGATTAAACCTGAGTTTAAGAAAATTAACTACCTCTCCTGTGTGGCATATTTATTTTATTTAAAGCAGTCCTTCTCAAATAGTGGGGCGGGCCCCCCGGGGGGGGGGGGGGGGGTGTGTGACCCTGGGAACATGCTCTTTTTGCTCATATCTCTCAGACTTACTAAAAATAAAGTTATGAATAAATATGACTGCCTTATCATTTTGGGAACCATGCATGAACAGTGTCGCTCCCCTCTGTTGCTGAGACAATAAAATCCTCCTCCACCTCCTCAGTCCTCCGCTGCTGTTTCAGAGCGTCATAAAAACAGCAGCGGAGGACTGAGGAGGTGGAGGAGGATTTTATTGTCTCAGCAACAGAGGGGAGCGACACTGTCCATTATGACAAGCCCTCAAATCCACGAATATACATTTTTACAACGCTTCCTCACGTAAAAAAAGACAGATTACGCTGTACACTCTGGACATCACTCACAGCAAGCATGCAACAAAGAGTAAACTCAAAGCAAGAGCGACACCTGCCCCCTATTTCTTCTTACGCGTTGACAAAATGTTTTAGTTTTATCCATGAGTTTGCTCATTATTCCTGACTTCCTCATTTTGATAAAAAAAAAAATCAGCCCAAATTGTTTTATTCATTTTTGTTT